TGAAGAAGGTTACGTGATGTCCGACCCCCCTCAGGGCACACGAGGTCACACCTCGCACATCATGTCTACAAATAACTCACACATTCAAACAAGAACATACGAAAACACCTTTACTTGTATTGAAGTACGTTGTGTGATGGTTGAGACCGAATGTCAGTGGGGAGAATCCCTCAGTGTGGAGACGCTGCCGACCACTATCAAGTTACCGCTACTTCACACTACCATCAGCCATAGGGACAAGTGGTCTTTCATTCACCATAATAAGTGTTAACGCCATCAACGACTCCAGCATCCCTAACATTCCTGCTTATATTTCCACGAAACAATCGCACACTCATGATTTGTGACAAACTCATAACTTTGACACTATTTACATTGGCCGCCAAACTGTTCGCATTGCATAGACTGTGCAGCTTTTATTTCGAGCTATGCAGGAAGTGTAATTGAATGTTAACTTAATTGCGATTGTGCTTGAAAATTAAATGAGCGTCATCAGCTCTCACAATTCCGCATGACATGATTACAACGCCGACAACACCCGACTGCATTTAAACAAGAGTTCATTTCGTGGGGGATCCTTCCCATGTCAGGCAAAGCTTGTGGGGTCTTGCGTTCTTCCAAATTTCCCCAAATTTCCCCTCCAGATTCCACACTGCATCACACTCGTTCACTGGCTTAGCAAATAACTTAACTGCAAATTGACTCTTTTAATGGGCGTTTGAAAGCGCGGTCCAACCAACGTCAAGGTCACGACGTTCTCGCTTGCGATTGAAGGAGGCTCCGGAAAAACAACCTATCTCGGTAAATTTATGCGTCATGAAAGTTATGCGATGTAATTCGCGAGCCACATTGCTCCATTGTTGTATATGGTTAGCAGTAAGTAATTCCGTGCGCATGCATCATGCACCCCAGTTTGTTGCCCTTCATCACTCTTTTATCTTTCGTGATTTTATTGAAAATTTCAATGTCTACATGATCACATTTTACTTCCACCACCCATAGTATGGCAGGTGCAGTCCCTGATGAGTAGTAACAGTGAGTTGACCCACGGTAGGAATGCATTAAAAGGAGAGGACTAAACCCTACAGGTAGTTGGTATGTTAAAGTCAAAATTGCTGCCAAATTGGATTCGCACACAGGATTACGGGTAACTTGTGCAGGTATAGTTGGCGTCATTGCATCGGTGGCGTTGGATACACAAAACGTGTCCAAATTTGAGTTTGCCGCGTTTCGATGAGCACAAGTAAAACAAAGGACGTGAACAGATTATTGTACCAGAGGGTGTGAGGAGTAGGCGACTAGATAATCGGGGAGTACTTTGAAAGTGTGTAAATAAAATGAGCTGCAAGTTGTGAGGTAGTGGGTGAGTCGAGTGACTGGAAGGATCTGTGATGGAGTCTGGTCATTCAGTTGTGGTGAACGCAAATAAATGGGTTGCTGAATGGAGAATCTATGCGTTAGTTTGTTCCATTCCAGCATCGCGGTATCAGTACCTCTTGAAATGAGTGCTGGCGTGGCAACAGGCAATGCTGCCGATGGGATGAGACAGGGCGAATTCTCCGCCATGGAATGTGTGCCCCATGAGAAGGGGGATGAGTTGCCACCACCCAGTAATGATAAAGGGCAGAACAGTGGGCTGATTGAGACGAGCGGAGACTGCGGCATCCCTACGAACACGAGTGTAGA